TCTTGTTCGTTGTGCAAGTGTATTTTCGACAGAAGAAGTAAACTGGCAATCATTTTGTTTGTATGAATGTGTTTGCAATGAAGGAATCAAGCATTAACAGTTGTTTAATTAAGTAAAAATAATATTTACGTTACTGTATGTTGGTGTGTGAATGTCTTGGCTTAGTGTGCTTGTTGTTTGAAGGTTTTTCTTCTGTCCGAGGAGTAAAATTAGCTTAATGTTGCTGCTAGTATGCCAAAACTGTTTAATCTTAAGCTCAAGGTATTTTCTGTGATTATGTGTATATCAACGTACCCAAAATGATATTCCTTTTGTTGTATGATATTGAATGGCACTCACGATTTGTATTGAATTAACATTCATGATATCCATATTTTATTTTTTATGACTGTTGTGAAAAATATATAGAAATGTATACATCATTATACATGTATATCCTTATGCATCGGGGTTTTTTTTTGTTATTATATACAAACAATTAATATCATTCATTATTTTTTAATAAAAGTTATTGAATTCAGTTTCTTGTTGAAGTTTATTTGTTTTTTGTTTTTCAGTTGTCTCTTTTACTTTAACATCTAAGCGTAATTTCACATATGCTTGCAATTGTTTATTAAAGAATCTTTTCAATTTAGGACTGAATTTAAAGGCTTTAAAATGTGTTTGGATGGCGAACAAAAGTTAGCGAGCAATGAAAGCGGTTGAGAATGGGAGGCAAGAGAGCTTATAAAGCATTGTTAAGATGCTGACAGGACAGGCCGGGTAGCTGACAAATAACATCACCGAAGAGCAAGGGGTGTGTAGTTGCTGAATAATACGTAAATATACGAAGCTCAAGAACATAATTCAAACTCTAAAGTCCATTTAAACGTTACAAACCAGGAGCAGAGCAAACACAGACCTCGAAAACATCGGAGATGGGATCAGGTGTCATGAAGGAGTGAGAATCCCCTGCCAATCGGTCACACTCGCTGTGTTATCTTTGTCATGTTCAATAGGGAAATAAAAAGCTAGGTTCACTTTCTGCAAAAAATGGCCCTGTCCTTATATTATATTAATTTACTATCACCTGTCACATTTCATATATCAAAATAAAGTAGAGATTTAGTGCTTTCATTTCCTATGACAATATTTTCTTTTCTCAAATTTTGCAGAAAACATGCGTTTGTGACTACCTTCAGCAAAGAATTAAGATATGAGCATAACCAACAGTACAAAAATTAAAACATGTTTTATGATCTTCAGAAACAGATCTTAATTATGTAATGGCACATTTTGGATCAGAGGTTGTGCTCTATATGAAGTAGTGAAAAGATACTTCAACTTTGCCATTTTTAAAAGAATTTGCAGGATATGAATAAAAAATGTATATTCATTTTGTGGACTTCGAGAAAGCTTTTGAGTTTGTGCACAGAGACAATAAATGCTGTGTGATTGACGATGATAACGAATTCACAACCCCTTTCCTTAAACTGTGATGTAAACTAAGGCTGTTGTATGTCATGTTTCTTGTTTCTCCTTGTGATAGACTGTGGTGCAACAAGCAGTCAGAGAAAAAAGAAACGGGATTCGCGGAGACTTCACGAATATGCTTAAAACCTTGACTTTGCCGATAACATGACACTGTCTGGAACAAGGAATGATATCCAGTCCAAGACAACCAAGAACAACTTGACAACTTGGTAAAAATCGGGTGAAGCTCAATGTCAAGGAATGCAAAGTGCTGAAGATAAACAACTAGCATATGATTTGGCGACAAAGAATTGGTCAGGTTCACATAGCTTGGCGCAAAATGTCACAATGGACAGCGGAGGTACTATTGATATCATGAAGAGGATAGGGCTCTCCGGTGTTACGGACACAGCAGAAAGGCCAAAGTCACTCCCATCAAGGGCATGGTTTTGTCTGTCTAATTGTTACATGGCTGTGAGACTTGGAAGCTCACCACGACAGAGGAAAATAGAATTGACATCTTCCAGGCCAAATACTCGTAACTCCTAAAGGATTTTCAAAGTCCGGTGTCAGCAGCATATCCTAACCCAGGCATGAGATGGAAGATTAATACATGTAATATATAGAAGCTTTTACTTGTAACGACGAATCAATTGACACGACTATCGATACCATTACATATTTAGACCTCCTAAGAGAAGGTCTACCTACATGTAAAAGCAGTAAGGAAAGGACACAAGTACTGTAGCAGCCAAACCTTGGTTTGATCCCGAACTAAGAAAAAAAAGCATGCATTAATCGAACAAAGATTAAGACAAAAAGTTATCAAACTAATTGACTGGAATTTCCTTGAAAAAATCAGAAACATTCAAAATTGAAATTAAAAATTGTCAACTCATATTGAATCACGACTGAGTGTTACTGGAAAAAAAAAACAATTCAACGACAGGTCTACAGTGTACCATGGCACGCCAAATCCACAAAAATAAGCAAAACATAGTTTCACAGTCGATAAACTAAGGTTATCGGTTGTAACTATAGTTTACGGACTGTGAACTATAGTTAACAACGTTAATCTATATTTTACATCTGTAAATCATAGTTAACGTGATAATCTATGTTTCACAACCGTAAACTATACTTCACACCAAAAACAATCATTTGCGATCGCAAAACATAGATTATCTGATAAATACAGTTTCACGATTTGTAAACTATGGTTTACAACTCTTAACTATAGTTAACGATCGTAAATTATAGTTTACATACGTGAATCTATGTTTATCAACAAAATCTATTGTTAACGTTTTATTAGACAGATAAACTAAGATTATCATTCGTAAACTATAGTTAACAACCGTTAAATATAGTTTTACAGATGAAAACTATACTTAACGAATTGTAAACTATAGTTCACGGTTTGTAAACTATAGTTTACAGACGATAAACCTAGTTTATCAATTGTGAAACTAGGTTTAGCATGCCAAATTCACAAAAATGAGCTAATCATAGTTTCACAGTCGATAAACTAGGTTTATCGATTGTAAACTATAGTTTACGGTCTCAAAACATAGATTATCTTATAAATACAGTTTCATGATTTGTAAACTATGGTTTACAACTCTTAACTATAGTTAACGAACTTATATTATAGTTTACAGACGTGAATCTATGTATATCAACAAAATCTATTGTTAACGTTTTATTACAGACATATAAGCTAAGATTAGCATTCGTAAACTATAGTTAACAACCGTTAAATATAGTTTTACAGATGAAAACTATACTTAACGAATCGTAAACTATTGTTTACGGTTTGTAAACTATAGTTTACAGTCGATAAACCTAGTTTATCAATTGTGAAACTAGGTTTTGCTCATGTTTGTGTATTTGGCGTGCCATAGTGTACACTTAATATTCCCGTTCACCACGACATTTTTATTTCTTGTAGTTTTTTAACAAAAAAATTTTTTTTAATTCACTCTGATTCCATACACAAGTTCTCTTAAGCTTTTATTTTAGGAAATGTGTCATATGCCGAGGTCCCTCTTTCTCTTTGATAATCCCTAATTACATGGTCTTGGGAGACAAAGTCTTTAAACAAAATGTTGGAATTCCTATGGGCACGTATTTTGCCCACCTTTGTTAGCGAACCTATTTTTCTGCTTCTTCAAGCAGAATTTATTTTAAAACATCTATAGATATGAGGAAAAAATACTTGCTGTGGCTTTCGACTACAAATTTAAATGCATGTACACTGCATGGATCCCACAAATTGAAATTAAACATACTGCAGTGTCTACCACATCTTTTTAACATCATTTTGGATTTTTAATGACAAGAGGCGACAATGGACAACACTACAAAATGTATGATAAAGGAGACATCTTCAACTTTTACATTATCAAATAACTTTTCTTTTATATATTATACATGTAGTGATGTTCTGCGCTACCGGGTATCACTTTCATTTTGCGTTTTCGTCTAATTCAGTAGTCAAAAACACGCTCTCTGATAACGCTCAGTTCTATATTGGGACAGGCTACTGCAAACTCCATACAGTGTCAATTCTCCTGGACTACTTTCGTGCCCAACGAATAATGATATGGAGTTGTAGCGTAACGTAATACTGAGCTGTCTGGAGCTTGCAGGCTACTGACATATAAGTTTTCAATACAGGGATTACAATAACCTCGCTTTACAGTTAGCATTTCGTATATTCTATGGTCTTTATGATAACATTATTAGTAAAGGTGTCCAATGTGCTTAACTTTAAAAATCGAAATTTAAAAATCGTACTAATTATAAGGCCTGAATTGTTTTCTAATACTAAATTTGATCACGGGAATAAAGCCTTATCGATTACTTATCAAGACACAGGGACGTAGCAACAGGGGGGCCAACATTACCTTTACTATTGAAAATGTCCATTGAAAGTTTGGTCCCCCCCCCCCCCACTTCTTACCACAGTATAGTAATATGAATGAAATGTAGGAAGGAAATGTATGCAAAAAAAAAAAAAAAAAATGGAAGTGAAAGGAAGTTGGCCTTCAAAAAAAGTTGGCCACTACCCCCATACCCTCCCCCCCCCCTCCACGAAATAGGATTTTCGAGTTTGGCCAAATTTCTTTTCAGGTAAGCAAAAAAAATTTTTTCTATGGTTGCCCCCCCCCTTTCAAAAACGATGCTACGTGCCTGAGACATAATTACAGTGTTTTTTCTCCGAGGTACTCATTTTCTAACTGCTTTATTTTTCTCTACACAAGCCCATGTGCTCTTCCTTTGCACCTGTTCCCTGGTTTGTTTGTTTGTTTGTTTTTTTTTTTTTTTTCTAACTTAGACACATAATAAATCTATTTAATAATATAAATATATGTCTCCGTTTTTAATAAAGAATGACATTTTTATTTTAGAATGAAAATAATCCAGTACACGTTGCAATACAGTTAAAATATTGCAAAATTCCCTAGCCATTAATCCTTCAGCCATCGTATTTTTTTCGGACATCCTTTGTTGAGAATTTTCATCGGGATCGGGATATAGAAAGTAAGAACGATAATTCAAAATATGTCGTAATGTTGTTTACAAGAATAAATTGAGGATCTAACATATCTTTCACATATAAACTAAAGGCCAAAGTGAGTAGAATAATTTCAGTAAGCATAAGGCATATCATTTCCATAAATATGTGAATGCATATTTCAATATGACTTATTTTGAATGGCAAACGACGTAATGTTACAATTTGAATTCAGTCAACATTAGTCAGATATTGACATAACACATTTCCGAACTAGGCCTAGAAGTCGGTAAAAATGTACTAAGCCCAGAAACTTTTATATGTTTCGTTAAACATTTTTTTTAAAAATTTACCCTTCCTAGGACAAAATATTGCAAAAGGGAAATGTAGCAAGTGCCCCACCCTTTTTCGCCTGTGAACTTATACAAAGTTGATTATGATGTTCTGCATGGCTATTAGTTCCTAGGGATCTTGTTAGGTTGAGGTCCCCAGCTACGTAACAGGTAAAGGACTAGGGATGAAGAACCAGGGGTAGAGTTCCCTGGAGATTTTGAGAGTTTAACGTGTTAACACGAAGACTATTATTAAGAGATCTTTACTTTGACATGCAGAATACATGTATTAATTACCTGTAATCTTACCACCATTCAGCTATATTTGTCAGTGGAGCCTATAGAGACCTAAAATTTTTTTGTTTGATTTAATGGGGATGGTTGCTGTAAGCACCCCTCTCAGAATCAGCACCTGGTACAATGCATCATGATGTATACTGCTGAGGATGATAAATTTTTGTTGTTTGGAATTGGTCTCCTAATTGTTTGTTATTTGGAATTGGTCTCCTATTTTTTTTATTATTTGCAACCCTTGATGCTTATGTAATTGTCAGAAACTGATTTTTACCTGTGAAATGTTTATGATGTTTGCAAGGTAAGCTGAGCCTGCAAAATGAATGTTGGCAAACCCTTAAATCAACAATAATGCCAAGGATGGCAAATAACAAATGAAAAGATAGTTATTCTATTCTATCAGAGAATTATATATTTCATATTCACAAATTTCATTACAATAGTGAAAAATTTCTTCATGATTTTCAGTACACCATCATGACGACTGCAGGTCCAGGTGGATTTCAGGCCGGCACTGCTGTTGTCCCGGCTACTCAGGTGGAAATCAGTGTCCAGTGCAGGTAACTGGTTTATACTTACACCATTGACTGGGGGAATATAGATCAGTGTCATGTTTATGTCAGATTTACTGTTGTTCTGCTTTGTTGTAAAAATTGTCAAAAGACCTTTAGCATGTTTAGGAAAGTTTTTATAAATAAAATAATTTACCTGGCTAGGTAAGTTATTTGTCAACAGTAAACAGCAGGACATTGTTATAATATTAGGTTTATACTGAGAGCCAGTAAATTAAAATTCTAAATCAGTAGATAATTCACTTGCACTGTTGCACAACATCATATACATTGTTTACTGGGTTTTTTTTCTTTCAGAAATTTAGCAGACATGGATGTTTTCTCTAAATCAGACCCAATGTGTGTTTTGTTTATGAAAGATATAAAAACTAACACTTTTTATGAGGTAAGGCTATCTTTGAAAAGAAAAAAATATCACTTCAATATTTGAAATCTGAGCACAGTCTGAAATTATTTATCCTGTTTATATGGATTTGAAATTAGGTCGGAAGAACAGAAACAATTGATAACCAGCTCAATCCAAACTTTGCCAAGAAATTTACACTCACCTACCTCTTTGAAGAATTACAGAGCATTGAATTTGAAATGTGAGTAAATGTAATAAAATTGTAATCTGTCTTTACAAATGTCAGAGCTATCATGTATCAACTTAAGATATATTTCAAAATCATATTTTAGATATATAACAACTAAAGTAAAGTGTGTATGTATACATTGTTTTATGATGTATATTTAAAGTTAATACATTATACAAAAAAATAACTTGAAAGTTAAGTACGGAAGAATTTTTTTTTTCAATTTCAGATATGATGTTGATTCTGCTTCTCATAATTTGAAAAATCATGTAAGTGATTTATTATTTCTCAGTTAAAGGCTTGGACATGTTGGAGATGGGAAAAGTCATCTTTGTTTTTTGTTTTTTGTTTTGTTTTGTTTTTTTTTTTGTTCTGTTTCTGGGTGGAAGTATGAAAGAAAAATACACATCACAAATAGCATATCCACTTTTTAGAATATGTAAATCATTCAATTGATAGACACCAAAATAATCGCCTATATTTATTGGTAACATAAGTAATTGAGGGCTTTCTGCTGTAGGACATAATTGATAACTTTCTGCTGTTGATTCTTTTATGCTGTAGGATTTTATTGGACGGATGGAGTGCAGCCTGGGAGAAATTGTAGGGGCACCAGGAGGGAAATTAGAAAAGCCTTTACAGTAAATTATGCTTTTTCATTTAATTATTGGAAATGTTGGCTGATTATTTTATTTACCAAATATGAAATGAAAATGTTTTAGAAAATGAAAATTTTAAATGGTTATACCTATCTTGAACAACACTAAAATATAATTGTTTTGAAGTTGTTGCTGTAAGAGATAAATAAAACTGGGAGATGCCTCAGATGTGTTTGAGCTCTTTTAGTTAAATATAAATGATAAACAATGGTTGGTTCCACACTCACAACTTCTGTTTATACTTTATGGACTCCTGCAGATAATTCTGTGAACACAATTTACTAAATGATGTTTAAATTTATACACTTTGCAGGGGATCTAGGAGAAAGAATGGGACAATAATAGGTAATTTAAAGTACCATAAATTCATTGAGCTGATGGGTGTTTGAAGGTGCTTGAAAATGTTCATTTAATAAAATATACATAGATTTTTCGTGCCTAAGATTGTTGCTTTGTGTTGCCACAAAACAATGTACTTGCCTATGTATCAGAAGATAATGCATTGAGAACCTAAATATTGCAGATTGATTATTGATACATGTATCTTCATGTATGATACACTTGCTATAGGCCCAACTGTTTAGAGAATGTGCACATTTTATATATCAGTATTTGGAAGTTTTTAAATAATCTAGCTACATCAGTATGTGGGAAGATGAAATATAATATTTCCATAATTACAGTTAAATCTTTTAACATATGCTTGGTTTTGAAAAAAAGAATTGTGATATTTTCAGGATATGATGATGATATGTAGCATATCATTACTGCTTCTTACATGTATATTAATTTTATTTCTTAGCACTTACACATGTGTCATGTATTTACATGTAGTTCTAAATGAAAGAATAAGGCATTGTTCATAATAAATTCAGGAGCAGCAGTAGCTAGCAGTTCACTAGTACAATCTATTTATAGTTAAAATGTAGACTACATGTATACACATGTCTTATCCTTGTTTTGAAGCTAAGTTATTACCTTAATGAGTATTTAACCTATGTCGGTACAATGTATCTGTAAACTCAGCATGAGACACCCTTTAGATATGTTGCTGACCTGTGTGTATGTTTGTTTGTTTTACAGTCAGAGGAGAGGAGCTAAGCAATTGCAAGGTTTGTTGTTTTAATCACAGCCAGAGGTGTTGGTTCCTGTTACATGCAGCATGTATCTCTCCTAAAATGATAAAATTTGTTCTCATTTACATATTTGAAAAGAAGCAAAATGAAAATTTTAAATTATACATGTACATCTATAGAAAATTTTAAAAATTTGATAGTTTTCTCTCATTTTTAAATTTAGCTTGACGCTTAGTCACACAAAATTTCTTTTAAAGTTGCTTTCGTCTCGTTTTCAAATTCAGGAGGAGATAACTCTTCATTTCCGAGCTAGTCATCTGGATAAGAAGGATTTCTTTGGAAAGTCTGATCCTTATTTACAGTTATCCCGAGTTAATGAAGATGGCAGGTGAGTTAAACGAACCCCTTCTCATTATTTATAATGAATGAAGATAACAAGTGAGCTATGGTGCCCTCCTCTATAACCACATTTATAGAAGTAATGTAAAAATGAATAAATAAAGCCCCGTCTCTTCTTAATTAAAAGTAGGTCAAACTTCTTGGTTTAGGTCTTGATAATGAAGTCAAGAATGCTAATATTATGGTATTTTCTGTGGTAATGAACTAGTAAAATAAAAATTTCTCTTATTAAAAATTTTGAAAACTTGTAGGTAAAGATACAGGGGAAATTTAGGTACTTTTAGAAAAAATTGTTAAAGGTAGTGTTTTTCATATATAAATACTGTACCTCCCCATGTTCTTATATAAAATCTCTATCTTCCCTTGTTTAAAAGTTATCTTTTCCATGCATGATTTTTTTTTCTATAGTCCTTTATAGTTATGGAATTAAGAATGTACACTATACAGACTTTTCTTGTTGTTGTTGTAGTTACACTGTGGTACACAGAACAGAAGTCATCATGAAGACGTTAAATCCTACCTGGAGACCCTTTACAATCATGTCCAGGGCCTTGTGTAATGGAGACTATGACAGGTGAGGCTAGGAAATATACATACATTGTAGCTGTAGGTAATGTAAAACATTCAATGTTGGGTTATGGGCTCATAATAATTTCCTTTTGTTATAAAGTATGTGTGTGAGTATTTTTAGTCAAATCTTTTTCAAGATTATAAAATCTAGTAAATACATTTCTTTATCTTTTTTCTTCATAATTGGGAAAATTCTAAAAAATATAGATATTTAAAAAATTAAGCATACAACTACATGTACAATGTATACAGATTTGTGATTTTTAAATACCATGTAAGTAGAATTTTTAGCAAGGATTTAATTTTGGCATTATTAGCAAAGGTGCTGACATCGCTAAAATTGAATATCGCTAAAAATTAATTGCGTATTATTTGTAATAGCTTCTTTAGTTAGCATTTTAAAATCGCTAAAATTACTTCTCGCTAAGAATAAAATACCAGATTTTAGATAGAATTCGCTAAATTTGCGTCTCGCTAAAATTTCGACTTATATGGTATTCAGAATGGAAGAAAGCATTAATATGCTTGGTATTATGAAATAAAGATTTTTTGCATTTTATTTATTCTACATTTTAGGAGCATTAAATTTGAATGTTATGACTGGGACAAAGATGGAGGGTATGTACAAGGTTTTTAAATGAATTTACAGTATAACATGCTCATAACAAAGAGCCACGCATGAAATAATGCTTCGTTATAAGTGTAATATATTATATTATTATGCTTCTTGTCAGTTTGTCTCTATATAACCCATACCCTACTATTCTCGCATAGTGGTCTAAGGATTTATATAGCTTAAGCATACTATGCCGAAATAGTGCACGGCCTTATTTTCTGAATAAAATTCTTCAATGCACCCACCGAGAATTGAACTCACGACCATGAGGTTGTCAGTCCGATGCCTTATCGATTACGCCACAGAGACGATCACTGATATGGAGAATTTTATTAAATATATAAACTTAATTTATACAATTGACACAAGAAGGAGAAAATAGACAAATATTATTTGAAAACAGTTACTTAGTATATTTATTCTAAGGAATCTTAGATAAATGTGTACAACAAAGTTTCAAACTAATTACATACAGATCGTTAGATGAATTGATATCATGGGGTCATTAAAACGCTTTTTATATAGCGCTTGATTGAAGGATGTAAAAGAAAATTATCAATGAGAATCCACCTCTGTAAACAAATCAGTCTTACTTACAAAACAGAAAATAAAGATGAGTATCTTTGGGACAGAAAATCCCGACCTATTTAGAAATAATACTAGTAACCAAAATAACTAAGCATGCAACCAATTTTAGCATGAAGATTTTGAATGAGTTTTTGCAAGTGCGCTGTATTACCACCATTATTTTCAGGAAAAAATCAAATGGATTGCCGCATAAATAATAACAACAGTCAGCATAATAATAACAATAGTGTTGCATTATGCATGTACTATGCCTAAATAGTAGGCAGGGTTTGACACATAGTGCACTCGCCTCCGGCTCGTGCACCATGTGTCAAACCCTGCCTACTATTTAGGCATAGTACATGCATAATGCAACACTATTATATAAATATATCCATCTGTTAAGTGCTTAATTTGATTTAGAAGGGGAATGATAATCTTTTTGCTCCAAGTATCGATTCATTATTTTAAAAAAAAATGAAATCAACTTCTGAAAGTTGTAGAAACATTTTCATCATAGATAAATTTTGTATTTTTATCTGTATTTTTTTAAGGCACGACTTAATTGGAGAATTTACAACAAATCTCCGAGAATTGTCAAGGGGTCCTTGTTCTTCCAATGTTTTTCTAGTAAGATATTTTGCCATTATTGATTGTCTCCTGGTTAATGATTTGAAAGAGAGTTTGTAATTTTTTGGGAGATTTATATTTACATCAACTTATTCATCAATTTGATCTTTATGTGAGAAAAAATGTGATCTTTATGTGAGAAAAAAATGTGACATTTTATATAACTCTTCCTCTTTTAATGAATATTAAAGTGAGACATTGATTTTATGAGTATTTTCACACCAAGATTCTGAACATGTCAAATAAGATGAATCTTTCTTTTGTTAGCTTATACACCCAAAGAAACAGGCAAAGAAAAAGAAATATAAAGATTCAGGGGAGGTAATTCTACACACACATTTTTTTTCAATCTGACATTGTTTACTTGGGGATTATACTGCATAAAACAAATATTTCCAGCCATTTTGTGAATTAAACAGTTCCTTTAAAATCAAAATTTATTTGTATTTTTTCCCTCTTCTGTAGGCTTCAATGGGAGCCAATGAAGCACAACATGGATGATCAAAAGTACAAGTTTAATTATGTTCCCCAAACGAAGTTGGGGAACATATTGTTTTTACTCTGTTTCTTATTATTATGTCGCCCCGAACGAAGTCGGGGACGACATATTGATATTGTACGCATGTTTTTTTTATCCAGGCTGTTTCTCGGAGATGGCTGGGACAATCTTCCTGAAACTTTCCTCAAAGGACGATCACTGGTTGTAGTTGTGCAGTGAGGTTGTTCAGTTCCAATATGTCTACCGTTGCCATGGAAACCTGTAAAAAGCGACAAATTTTGTCCGAGAGTGTTCTCTCTGGTCCCTTAAACGTTCGTCATAAAACTTTTCTTATTTTAATGATTAGTATCTGTAGTGATGCAACTCGCATTTAAAATTTTCAAATAATCGATTATTGCCATGGAAACCAGGTGAAAGTTAAAATTCTTTAATTTCGATTTTCTCAATAACTACGCAGGCAATCGTTTTGAAACTTTCAGTGTTTATTCCTTGCAATGTGTCAAAGTGATTTCTACTTTAAAAAAAATTGTAATGAGTCGCTCACAGTTGTCATAGAAACGAAACAGAAAAAAAGATTCAGATGTACACATGTGTTCTCCAAGGTCTAGGTCAAAGGGTCAAAGTTCTTGGTGTCCAATAAAAGTTCTTTTCACAAGGATTACATATTTGAAATACGAAAGCCCTAGCCCTTACCGTTCAAACGTAAGGTACTATGTTCAAGACAACCCCCCCCCCCCCCTTTTTGAAGCGCACTGCCAGGTAGAATACACAGATATAACATATACAATTTACAGGTAACGTTTTAAAAGTTTCATTCATAAAATTCAGTTCTCCTGATGTGATTTGATAGTTTGCCAACAGTCATTCTTCTTCTGTCTTGTCTCTAGATTTTATAATTATTTTGTTTTTTCTATATAAAAAATTACGATTGTCAACTTCATTTATTAGCATTTCGCGTTTTTTGGTATATCTATTACTTGTATATTATTAATTTCATTAAATAGTGCAAGAATAAATTAGAAAATTGGTACGTTATTTCCATAGTTTTTATTCATTCATAAATCTTTGGATCCGCTCCTATACAGGTGCGCTAAGCCTTGATCACTACTGTAAACAAAACATTCATCTCGCCGAAAATGTTCATGATTCCGCTAAACTGAGAAAGTTTACACATGATTTATCTTCTCATAACAAACATCAGCTCTCTGCAATGCAGAAATGCTTGAATTGAAGGGGAAAATTCAGGAGTTATTGATGGGAAAAATTCAGGAGTTATTATTATGTCGCCCCGAACGAAGTCGGGGACGACATATTGATATTGTACGCATGTTTTTTTTATCCAGGCTGTTTCTCGGAGATGGCTGGGACAATCTTCCTGAAACTTTCCTCAAAGGACGATCACTGGTTGTAGTTGTGCAGTGAGGTTGTTCAGTTCCAATATGTCTACCGTTGCCATGGAAACCTGTAAAAAGCGACAAATTTTGTCCGAGAGTGTTCTCTCTGGTCCCTTAAACGTTCGTCATAAAACTTTTCTTATTTTAATGATTAGTATCTGTAGTGATGCAACTCGCATTTAAAATTTTCAAATAATCGATTATTGCCATGGAAACCAGGTGAAAGTTAAAATTCTTTAATTTCGATTTTCTCAATAACTACGCAGGCAATCGTTTTGAAACTTTCAGTGTTTATTCCTTGCAATGTGTAAAAGTGATTTCTACTTTCAAAATAATTGTAATGAGTCGCTCACAGTTGTCATAGAAACGAAACAGAAAAAAAGATTCAGATGTACACATGTGTTCTCCAAGGTCTAGGTCAAAGGGTCAAAGTTCTTGGTGTCCAATAAAAGTTCTTTTCACAAGGATTACATATTTGAAATACGAAAGCCCTAGCCCTTACCGTTCAAACGTAAGGTACTATGTTCAAGACAACCCCCCCCCCCCCTTTTTGAAGCGCACTGCCAGGTAGAATACACAGATATAACATATACAATTTACAGGTAACGTTTTAAAAGTTTCATTCATAAAATTCAGTTCTCCTGATGTGATTTGATAGTTTGCCAACAGTCATTCTTCTTCTGTCTTGTCTCTAGATTTTATAATTATTTTGTTTTTTCTATATAAAAAATTACGATTGTCAACTTCATTTATTGGCATTTCGCGTTTTTTGGTATATCTATTACTTGTATATTATTAATTTCATTAAATAGTGCAAGAATAAATTAGAAAATTGGTACGTTATTTCCATAGTTTTTATTCATTCATAAATCTTTGGATCCGCTCCTATACAGGTGCGCTAAGCCTTGATCACTACTGTAAACAAAACATTCATCTCGCCGAAAATGTTCATGATTCCGCTAAACTGAGAAAGTTTACACATGATTTATCAACTCATAAGAAACACCAGACCTGTACAGTGCAGAAATGCTTGAATTGAAGGTGGCATGTCAGATTCGTTTTCCGGCCGAACCTCTACAAATTAAAGTAAAAGTAGGGAATTTTCTGAATTCTCACTGGCGTTTTAATACACAAAATAATTCGGCTGATCTTCTTAATATTTAATATTTGCCAAGCATTTTTGGTAGGAAAGATACTGCCAATTAACAAGTATGAGACTCAGTTCAGTACATCTGCCCAATTTCTTGTATGCAACTCTGCAATTTTGGACTTGTAATTTTTTTCCTGCACTACTTTCTTCTCCTACAGATTCTAAAAATAATGAGTGGGATGTACCCAATTAAGGTCTTCCGTTTCTTACGGAAAGAACTTATCATACGACTGGATGGTTGTCAAAGCTTAGCTAATGGGCCATTGTTTTAGTGATGATAAAAATGAAAGTCTTGTCCAAAACGGGGCGACATATGCTATTGCTTGCAATAGCAGACTTTCTAGTTATTATTATTTTTCTTCTTCTTCTTCTTCCTGGGTACTTTTTTGTCCGGGAGTGATCTTGTAAACTACACATCCGACTTAGGTAAAACCTTTTTAGGGTCAGTAGGCATGTTATGTAGATTTGCGGAACGAAGGTCATTTTGCGCGCACGTGCTTGCAAGAGCGTGCACGTGCAACACGTGAAATGACCGATTTAATTGATATAGGCGTAACTTTTTACATTTTTGATGAAATGCTTTGAAACTCATAATATAAAGATATTTTAGAAGCATAGACAATATGACATGATCAAAATAGCAAGATCTCACGCGCATGCACGTGCGCTTCGCTCTGATTGGCTGAAACTAAAGTCTCAATATCTTTCTTGTTTTTTGACGAAATCCTTTGAAATTTTGAACATAACCATGCATTAGGATATCCTACAACATGATACATACTGTATCAATAATCATGAAATCACGTGCATGCACGTGCGCTGCAATCTGATTGGCTTAAACTTTAAATAGCTATAACTCCCTTGGTTTTTAAGCAAACGGGGTGGGATTTACAACATAGATAGATGTAATAGACTTCTACATTAAGGTATGGTCACCTTGAACATGTGTCACGTGCGTGCACGTGAAATGAGTAAAATCAAAAATACACTTGAATGAGCGTATTTTTGAATACTTTTTGATTTAGTATATTAAAATATATAGATTGTGTAGACAAGATGATATGGTCCTTATGCGCACGCTTGCAATGCTAAAATTTGAATGAACTTGGTACACTTCTGGGTAAACGTTGATAAAGTCTCAAATGCATAGAGTTTGTCTTATTTAATGAAGCTTACAGGGAATATGGCATCAAAAGGGAGTTGGGGAGCGTTTGGGGAACATCTGTAACGGTCCCCGTTACAATTAGCACTAGTTTTAATTAGATTGATGTTGCATCTGTCTTTCTCTTTTAAACATCTAAATATTTTTTATTGCAGGTGCTACTATTGAGTTATAAATCAGAGCAGATCTTTTCGTTTCTGGATTACATACAAAGTGGGTCAGTAAAAAACAAATATATATATATTTTTTTTTGCAAATGATAACTGTTAACAGGTATCTACTGTTCTTAGCAGAATTTCAAAAACTTAGTGGATTTTTTCAATTTTTATAACAAGGAAAATCATCTAGATATTTTTTTCCTTTTGTGTATGTTTGTATTCTAAACTTAAAAACTTAAGAAGTAAATTTAAAATGAGATAAAATAAACCTTTAAGAGAATTTTAATATGATTCAACACTTAATTGATGTTAAGGTACAACTGTCAGAAACTAAATTTTTAACTGAAATCATTTAAAATTTGAAAATGAAAAAAAAAATTTATTGATTTAGTAGCACTGAAATGAACTTCACAGTAGCGATAGATTTCACTGCCTCTAATGGAAACCCCTCTTCTCCCTCATCTCTTCATTACCTGAACCCATACGGAACCCCAAACCAGTACGCTGCGGCTATTCAAGCTGTAGGAAACATTATTCAGGACTATGACAGGTATGGAAACCAAACATGACAATGAATGTCCAGGTGTGATTAACATTATACCTGTTCTATAGTGCTCTTCCTGTTTATCCGTATCTGCAATCTGCATGATCAGTGTACTGTACAGTACAACGTACATGTACATCTGATCTATTGGCTGTACAAAAAATGTCACATATACATGTATTTCACCCATGCAAAGAATCATGGTGGAACACCAACATTAATGGTAAATAGTATATTCTCTTGCAATTTGAATTGTTTATCAGAAAACATAATTTTTTTCTTGTTGATGTTTTGTACAGTTTTTGGTACAGTATTTTATGGGCAATATACTGTATTGTTAAATTTCAGTATTTCCAAGGCTTCTGTACAGTTGGGGGGAGGGGGGTGTGTGGCAACGCACTCTGAAAAAATTACGCACTTTGAAAAAAATTTTCAAAGTGCGTTAAAATTGGGACAAAATCAACGCACTTTGAAAATTTTTTTCAAAGTGCGTTAAATTTGGGACCAACTCAACGCACTTTGAAAAAAAAATTTTCAAAGTGCGTTAAGATTCTACATCAATATATTTTACCATGGAGACACTTAATGCACTTTGAAAAAAAAATTATATTTTAGTCATGGAAAGATTTTATTTGTTATTTCTCTTTCAAAAAACTAAGCCTAACCCTAACCTCAAAAATGAATTGATTTACTCCCGTCGAAAAGAGGAGAAGACGGGTATAAGATTCCTCAGTCCAAATCTTTATCTTTCCAATACATACACTGTATAGGTGTCGGTAACAAACGGGGGAGGGGAGCAATAAACCTCAAAAAGGTACGCTGCATTTTCAATGTTTATACGATGTATATAGCTTTCCAAAATAAGTGGGGGGCTTAGCCCCCCATCCCCTCCCCTGGCCCTTCGCCCAGTCTCGATGTCTATGCTATACTCAAAGCATTCATATAATTATGTATTTACCTAACTGGTATGATGTTGAAAACTTTCAAAAATAAATGAGTTAATTAAAACAGATGAAAACTAGAAATTTTTAAGTACGGTTAAACTTATGAGAGAGAAAGAATTTTCATAGTTTTGAACAATCAAATTGGCCCCTTTTTATTATGATAAATGCAAAGTTGCTTGAAGCTGTCCTCTGTTAGTGCCCCCTATACACCTTTACATCTACTTATCAAAGACTAGAATTAAAAAAAAAAGAAGAAACGAATTGATGAACTTAAAAAATCGTCACTCTTTTTTCAAGACCCTTTAATTTTCCCTTTTATTTTTTCAAAACCTTAAATATTTAAAACGTCAATATCTCAGGTCCTACAGTGACTTTATGATAAAAAAGTTATCAAACCAGGATCTGTTATTTATCATACCGATTATTTGAAGGAATTTTGATCAATCTTTACATTTTTTTGAAAGTGCGTTAATATGGTCGATATTAACGCACTTTGAAAAAAAATATTTTTTTCAAAGTGCGTTAGCTTGGTCCCAAATTTTAACGCACTTTGAAAAATTTTTTCAAAGTGCGTAATTTTTCAAAGTGCGTTGTAACAGGGGTGTTAAAATTGATCCTTTTTGTACACATATTTTACAGAATAACTTCTTTTTCTTCAGTGATAAGCTGTTTCCAGCCCTGGGATTTGGAGCAAGAATGAGTGATGGCTCTGTTCACCACGAGTTTGCATTGGTAACAATTTGAAATTAATTTTATACTTTTTATAATCAAATCCAGATGCATAAATAGATATGATGAAAACCAAGAATAAAATTAGTTAAGGGTATATTTATATTTAATGGATGTTAAAATCCAAACTAGTAAACTATCTGTAATATCAGCACTGGCAATAGTCCCCTTTGCCTCTTGACTTGTAGGTTAAATGACATATTTTTTTAGTATAAATATGTACAATTGTAAATGTTTCAATTAATGAAATACAATTGTTACAATTACACCAGATTTTTTTTAATCAGAGAGATGCAACAGTTCCCAATTTTTAACAACACTTTCTTTGATATATTGTAGAATTTTAACCCCTCCAACCCATTCTGTCAGGGAGTAGAGGGAGTCCTGCAGGCATACTACAACTCACTGAAGAATGTCCAACTGTACGGCCCTACAAATTTCTCCTCCGTCATTAACCACGTAGCCAGGTAAATACAGGTGTTCTTTAACTGATACCTTGTCATTAACCATGTAGCCAAGTAAACACTGGTGTTACATGTAACTTAAACCATGTCATTAACCAAGTAGCCAGTTAAATACTGGTGTTAACTTATACCCTGTCATTGACCAAGTAGCCAGGTAAATACAGACCTTGACATTAACCACGTAGCCAGGTAAATACTGGTGTTAACTTATACCATCATTGACCAAGTAGCCAGGTAAATACAGGTCTTAACTTACACCTTGTCATTAACCATGTAGCCAGGTAAATACATTTGTTAACTTTAACCCCACCTCTTTTGATTTTCCCGTGAAATCCTGGCTTACGATTGGTTATAGTCTGTCACGTGAAGGAGGTGGATTACTTATACCCGGTCAGTTGTAAATCTATACCCGGTCGATGTATTACGTCACAAACACAACGTGACGGCATAATAGGCACAGTATTAGCAGAGAAAGATATTGATAAACCACAGATAATACGTAAATGTTTCATCGGTGGGGTAAATTCGTTACATAGTCTTTTAGTGACAGGGTACGGGATGATACCTGGTTAGTAAATTTCATACCTGACTCGGCTCCGCCTCGCCAGGTATGAAATTTACTAACCAGGTTTCATCCTGTACCCTGTCACTAAAAGTATGTAACTAATAATACCATGTTATTGACCAAGTAGCCAGGTAAATACAGGTCTTAACTTACACCTTGTCATTAACCATGTAGCCAGGTAAATACAGGTGTTAACTTATACCATGTCATAAACCATGTACTCAGGTAAAAACTGGTGTTGTAAAGGTTTTTTTAAAGTTACATATTGTCATCGAGTGTGTGTTTTGTAAATGGGAACTATTTGGCCATGTAAAAGTCTTTGTCAGTCTGTCTAGTCTGTATTGATTCAGAATATACTAGGTAATTTTGATAAATCAGAACCTTTGGGATGGAGTAGGATCATATTTGGTAATGAAAGTTTTACATTGAAATTCATTACAATATAAAAAAATGGAGAAAAAATCTCAAGAAAAGCACAGGTATTCAACACAATTGAATTCCAATAGTATGGTTCTTGCATATAGTGCACACTGTACTTATTTCTTTCAGATTTGCTCAGGCAATACAAGATGGCAGTCAGTATTTTGTTTTGCTTATCATTACTGATGGAGTGATCACAGACATGCAGCAAACCCAGCAGGCTATTGTTAACGTGAGTACAGTTAGTTTAGTGTAAGCACAGTTTATTTTTAATAACTACAGTAAGTTAAATAGACCTTGTACAATGTCCAATCCATTGTTTTTGTCATTATTGTGCGTTTAACTTGCAGGCCTCCAGACTCCCTATGTCCATTATCATTGTTGGTGTAGGGGACGCTGATTTTACTGGTATGTGTGATATAAAATGTCACTACATTTAGAAGGCATTATTTTCAGTAACAGTTTGTTATATCACATATTTTGAAGATGTTAAACATGTACACACACATTCAGAAAAAAAATACAGTTCATGTTTCTAAAGAAATTACTATTTTCTGGCATTCTTTGACTATTAATATTAGGAAGATGAGACAACTTGCTTCCTGTATTTAACTGAATTACTTATTTCAGCTATGAATATTTTGGACGGTGATGATGTCAGACTATCTTACAATGGAGTGTACGCAGAGAGAGATATTGTACAGGTATTGTAACGTATTGCTACTTGTCCACTGTTTTATCAAGTTCTTAATGATAAGATTATTTCTGTAATGCTGTTGAGCTTTTTAAGTACTGTTCAATCTGGTAATTCTAAATGATAGAATGCTTTTAAACACTTCTAGTGGTGTTGAGATCTTTATGTTCCATTCAATCAGATAATTGTTCCATTTAAATTTTCTTTAATTATGTAAAACAACTCCAGATGTTGCCATGGTGATTTTTCTAATTAGATGTAACTAAAGTTTTTAATTTTTTTCCCCATAGTTTGTTCCATTTAATGACTTCCTAAACCTTGGTAACATGACGTTGAGTCAAGCAGCCCTAGCTAAAGAAGTGCTGGCAGAAATACCGGATCAGTTTTTGTCGTACATGAAAAAGCACAATGTAAAACCCAGGATATCGGCTACTGCCCCACCATAGAGCTACATATCCCTGAAGTAGAGATATCATTTATCATGTTTACAGACTTCAAATGCTTCTAAGATTTTTAATGCAATAATTCTTTTTAATTAATTTACTGCTGTTAATTCAGTGTGTATTCATAGTGAATTGATGTATTAGTGCTGTTAATTCAGGGTGTATTCATAGTGAATTGATGTATTATGCTCTTAACAATTATTGGTTTTAGATTTACTAGGGATCTGTACATGTACACTGTATATATCTCCTTGATTTTGCAGGTGCTTTTACATTTACTTGTATCAATTCATGTAAGTGTGTTAATAAGAAATATCAGCCATGTGTAGAAAAGGCAGTATCTGAAAAGAGGTGTTAATATTGCCCATGTGAACAATATAGTTTGTAGTTTAACATTCTGTAGATGTTTTGACATTGTTTTATGTACTTGTCTTTGAAACAACCATTCTTTCCTTTATAATTTCACAGCTTTATCTTGCAGTATTTAATTAAAGCCTAAATGTAGGTTCCTGTAGGAATAGAGACATTTGCTGTGATTTCATACTAGAATTTTTTAAACATTCTTAATGTGCAATATACATTGTCAAGACATTTAGGTTGGTGATTCTGTTGCTTATATACCTTTTATGGCATTCTCTTTAGGTTTAGACTGATAATTATAATTTTTTTATGTAATTTTTACATTTTTATGTAATACATTTTATACAATTTATTTTTATCTTTAAATGACTGTGTGAGATATTTTTCACTTTCTTTATTGTCACTAAGGGCAATTGAGAAGACTCACTGATGGACATTGGATGTGGCATCTGTTGAGTACAGACTTTAAACTGGATGCTGTTTGGATATATATTGACTGTGCATTGGTTTCAGTTTGTATCTCAATTAATTTTGGACTACCTCCAGTTTAGATCTCTGTTGATTTTGAATTGAACACAGCTTGGATAACTGTTGATTTTGAATACTGTAGAAGTACTTTTTTTCCACGTGGTATTAATTTACGCTATGTACGCGGCCACAAATTTTCCGCGGAAATTTTTCCAAGCGTACTTTTTATAAATGTAAGGCATATAGTGACAATCTAAGAAATCCACGTTATTTTCTATCCGTAGATTAAAAAGATATTAAGATTCCGCGGAATTATGATTCCGTGGAAAAAAATACGTCTACAGTATGCTTATAATGCAGCATCCAATGACTTTGAACTGACTATAGTATAAATATTAATCAACTCAATGTACACAGTTATTTTCTCTTTAACAGATGCTCAACAATGCTCAATACATTAAGATGTAATTCATTTTCCTAATTTGTACAAATTGATGTAAGCATAGCAAATGTTTTTAATTGCTTATTCTTTTGTTAACTTCTAACTTGGTTAGATACATGTGTACTGCAGCACCAACACTTTGATTTTAGTTTCCTGTGTTCAGTTTTAGCTGTGAAGCTGTTGAAGTTTGTAAAACACGCAATTCTGTGATTTTAGAATGCATTTTAGAAATGTTCATTGCAATAAATGTGTTTAAGTTCAGTTTTAGGTTATGTGAGTCACTTAGGTGACCAATTGCAATCTGTTTTTGTTCATTTTTGTGCATTGTTAGAAATTCAACAGGATTTATATGGCTTCTTCTCAAAAAGGGGATTCAACAGTTTTGGTATAGGAAAATCAGTGGGACAATGATTATGAATTTATGGCCACTACTTCCTAATTATACAGTAAAAATGCAGCAATTCTTTCAAATTCTTCGCTAGACTACAGCAGTTTGTGAAAGCACTAGTTCGTTGTTTACAACTGAATGTTAGTAACAATAGATAGTTTAGGCGACAGTCTGACAAACACTGGTAAATGACAGCATCACCCTCAGGCTTGACCTTTTTATTGATCCTTGGTTGCCTTTTTTCTCTCGATTTTAAGCAATGTATCACACTATAATATCAGTTTATGTTCCTTTATTTCATAATTATGAAACCATGTTTTTATGGATCCTTTTCAGGGTCGTATTCTATTTTACTCAGGTGACCGTTAAGGCCTCTGGTCCTCTTGTATTTATTGCTGTTCTTAAGATGTAACATAATATTTAAAACTAATACTGATACCAGTATATCTTGAAAAGTTTCAATATTTTTTTTTTTACTTTTACTATTAGATCTATATAATTATATATTTAAAAATTTTGCAAATAAACTTCAGAAATCATGCACCTTTTAAATTTTATTTTAATTTCACTTGAATATAGTTAAATATCACCATTAATTAGCTGTAAGAGAGAGAGAAAGAGAGAGTTGGTTATAGCTGGCGAAATTCTTAAAATATTCTTTGTAATAATAAATTAATTTGTTAAATCAATTTGTTAAAACAGAATAATAAAAGATAGAGCCGTACGTGGTTGTTATAAACACTTCCGTAGCTCTTAGATAGTACAGTTTACTCACAATTCTTAATGGAACTGACGCCAATCAATTATCGTTTAATAAGGTCTCTGTTAAAACGCCATTCAAGGAAAACTCTCTCTCTGTCTCTCTGTGTGTGTGGGTGGGTGGGGGAGTTAGTCGATATTTCTCCTCAAGTCCCCGGCAAATGATGTTGGCAACAAAAATTTACCATATATATGTGATTTACATCAGTACGTGTAATTCATAAGTATTGAGGATAGACACATATTAACACCAGTGACAGACTTACGCATTTCCTGTTATACGATCATTCATCCCCTTGGTTCGTAATATCTGACGTTTCCAAGGTTTTTTTTAACGATTTTCATATTTTAAGTGCCAAGAAAAACATCAAAATCATGAAAAAGCCAGGATAACATAGACTATTTATTTTGAACTATTATCTCCGCAGACTTTATTGGATGCAGATAAAGCAAAACTTATGCAGAAAATCTTATTCGTTCTCAGTCTGAAATATGAAGGATATGGAGACAACGAACAGTATTCAATATCAAAGTCCATGAAACAGTACAAAATAGGAGCAGAGCAGACACGGACGAGGACCTTCAAAACATCAAAGGTGGGATCAGGTGTCATGGAGTAGTGGGCATCCCCTGCCGACCGGTCACACCCGCCGTGTGCTCCTTGTCATGATAGGAAAATAACGGGAAAATCCGTCGTCAATTCAGTGAATAAATAATGGACTAATAGTTAGTATGAAAAACGTCAGTCAGCATTTGATTCAATGAGGTCTGAAATTATCGGATCCGGCAAAACGATCATTACGTTTTTGACGTCATTTCAATTATGACGTCACCTTTCAAAAAGAATGTCGCCTTTTGGTTTCTTTATCTGTTTTTGTCACCTATGTTTTCTTTCTGTATTTTGTAAAAAGACTAATAAACAGGTAAACTTTTTATAATGAATTTTTTTGATAACTTTTAAATTGGTAACAAGCTTAAGGAGTTTATATGTTGCATAACTTTTTTCATATTAACTCTTTTCAAGTGTTTTTTCGCTTATATGTAGAACGTGGACATACTGGAGGATGATCCTGAAAATGCCAACAAAGTGATTCCATTTCCGGAGAGTTTCACCAGACTTGTGAACGAGCACATAAGAGATTCCCTGAATGCCCTCTCGGTTCAAGAAGCATCGCGTTATACAATAGACTGCAGTAATTACGTCACAGATAAGATAATAAGTAATTTTAGGCAGTCGAAATTTCGATGGGTCCATAATGGAATGCGGCTTTCAACTGATAGAGGAAGAATTGTGCATAAAAAGGGTGAACTAACTTTTAGAAAGATACTGTTGAAGGATGGCGGCACGTATCTTTGTCAAATAGAATATCAGCCATATTTAGTAAAGACAGTAGGCGTGTATTCACTGATGGTCAAACCACTCAGGCCACGCCCTAGAATCGTTAAGTATGGCAAAAGATTCTGTGTGCAGTGTAACAGTGCGGGTATTGGACACGCGTATCTGTATACAAAACGTAACTGGATCATTAACAATTCGTATACTGTGTTTCCAAACGGTATCCCGGCTACCTCTATCTTCGAAGACTGTGTAGATTTCGCGCTGCCCAAAATGACTGGCTTTTGGAAGTGTGTGACGTCTCAAGAATATTCAACAAGGGAATGGACAACTGCTTACTTCCAAATACAAGTGACCCGAGAGCCCTCTTTTTTAGGGAAAATTGAGAACTTTATGAAAGATAATTGGATTCATTTTCTTTTGATTTTTCTTGGCATTGGTTTGTTTCTTGTGTCGTTTTTGGTTGCGAAATTCAAGAAAGGGGTATTTTTGAAAGGTGAAAGTGCAGAAAAAACACCGTTGGCGATTACAGAAGAGGAACCCCAGCCAGAAAATGAACCACTTACAGCTGAAAATAATAGTGAAAACGAAATGTACTTTGATGAGCAAGAAAACTAAACCAAAGTGAACTTATACAAATAAGGATCATCTTTTTCACAGCAGAAAAAATAAAGTATATAAAGGATGAGGTGACTTGGGGCCCCCGGTAAATTGACAAAATATAAATGTCTAGATTTTGTTCAAATTTTTGCATGCAGCTAATCACTGATATGTGTACCTTTATAGAATACTATTTTAAACAAAAATAGAAACGTGATTTGAAAGATATAGAACCTTTATTGGGGTAGGGGTATCATGTTTACATCCAATTCCTATTGCGTTTTAACCACGCCCCACTCTTTGAAGCCCTTAAAATATACGAGCGCAGCTAGGTACAATTTTCTCCTTTAGCTGGTCACTGGATTTTATTGAAATCTACCTATTTGTAAAAGGAGAAAATTGTACCTAACTGCGCTCACATGCTATTTTTAAGAAAACTGTAAAATCTATCCGGCCTTTCGCATTATGAACAGATCGACGGAACTAGATTTTCTGACGTAAGAATAAATTCATATGCTAATCGAGGCACTGGCGATACTCTCTAACTGACCAATCAGCTAAACAAAATTCGTTACGAGTGAGTACCATAAAAATACTATGGAAACATGCTTGGAATTTTACTGCTTCAGATATTCTTTTATGCGTTTGAGTCACAGATTAGACACGGATCTACATATGTACAATTTCCGAGATTACAGTAAGATTTTCATACAGTTACAAACAATTTATAAATACATGACAGCTCCCAGCTAACACAAAAACATTTTAAAAATGTTTTTAAAACATTTTCAAAATGTTGCGAAAACATTTTTAAAAATGTTTTAATCACGTGATTTTGTATGGTTTTTTAAACGTTTTTAAAACATTTTAGTGAAATATTTCAGCAAAATGTTGTCAGAACATTTTCTTAAAATGTTGCAAAAACATTTTCAATAATGTTTTAATCACGTGAATTTGTATGGTTTTTTAAATGTTTTTAAAACATTTTAGTGAAATATTTCAGCAAATGTTTCTGGAACATTTTCTTAAAATGTTACGAAAACATTTTTGAACAATGTTATAATCACGTGATTTTGTATGGTTTTTTAAACGTTTTTAAAACATTTTAGTGAAATATTTCAACAAATGTTATCATAACATTGTTATAAAATGTAACAAAAACATTTTCAAAAATTTTTTTTTCACGTTTAATCATGTTAATTTGTTTGGTTTTTAAAACGTTTTCAAAACATTCACGTCGAGGTTACAAAAGTATTTTTACTGAAATTTTACTTTTCTCATGAAATAATGATATATTTATATTTTAAAAGAAATAAACACAAATTATATTTAATTTTCGAATCTTTAATACAAACCCATATTCAATATGCTAATCACATTTAAATTCCATTCTCGGTACAAGTTTCAATTTATTTTCTTTCAAGTCACCGGGGTTTTAAAGGGTGAAAACGGCGCCTAATCCATTCACTGAATTTTAAAAGAACAGAATCACAGAAATCCTATGTTCACAGTATAGGTTGAACAGAGCGGCGGATCTATAAGACTTAATTAGAATCACATACACTGAAAAGGCTGATAAGGAATCCGCCCCTCGGAACGAATAGCACAACCTGTAAAGATAAGGAAAGTTGTGTTTGTATCAGCGTTCTACATCTAATGTATCTTAAGATGATCAATGAAAATATACAAAAAATATTTTAAATAATTATATCAAATTTAAGTTCTTTCCTCATTTGCATTGAAAAAAGCAGAAAAATAATTACTATGACAATATTATTGAAGAGTAATAGTATTTACGTACACCTTTGCCTTCACCAAAGGCGGGTCTTTTGAATGGGGGAATTTGAAAATACGGATGATGCAATCAACACCATGCTGTAAAGAAATTTCATTTTTAAATCAACAGATTGTTTGATGATTTTAAAACATTCCACAAAGACAACGATTACTTGAATCAAGGATATAATTGTGTTGAAATATTCAAATCAAATACATGTGTATAACCTTAACGCTTTGTCATTTCTTAATGCTACATACATTTGTACAAAGTTATTGATCATGCACTGGTAGTATAAAGTCATTTTTAAATGATCTTTTAAAGTCTATGATAAAGGAATAATTCTTACCATTCAAAGTTAATAAATCCCGAGGTTATAATTGTTGTTTTATGGTGCAAAGTCTTCTCATTCAAATCGGCACGGAGTAAGCGCGCACATCTTGTTTACCAGAATTCAAAATTTGGCCTAGATAAGCTGCAAACCACTATACTCTGTAACGCGCTGCCCAGCAGGAAAATTGCATAACAGGTTATCATGACACTGAAACTGACCAGTGTGCCAATCCCTATCTAATGCCTCAGAGTAAAATCCTGGGAGTGGATCACAGATTTGATGAAGAACATTTTTAAAAAAAAATATTAAGAGTTTTATCAAATGCTTATGATTTTTTTTACATTTAATTATATTTTAAATTTTGTGTTTGCCTATCCTTTCATTTATTGATTTTTTGATTTGTTTTAATTAAAGGACTTTATATATGTCTGTTTATTCAATAAGCCAAAACTAGAAATCATTATAAAATACAGGAAAAAATCTTTCAATTAAAAAATTACTACAATTAATCATTTCAACACTATTCTTTCTATATATTCTTTTTTTTTCTTCATAAATTAAATTTTAGGAAAATCGCAGTCATACATTATTTGAATGTTATAAGAACAAATAACATTAAAAAATGTTGCAGCAATGAAAAATGAAGTCTTTAAAAAAAAGAAAACACATTAGGCCATTCCAAGTTTTTTCTATGTTTAGCATCTTCGTGCGCCTTGGTTTTTGACACCCTATGTCAGAAAAACCAAACAGAATCAGGAGTCCGAAAATTAATTATTCAGGTCAAAATTTGTGATTTCCGGCAATATTTTTAAAT